GGAGGGGGGGGGGGGGGGGCGGGGGCGGACAGAGTAGGAGAGAAGTAGAAAGAGAACTTTCGAAGAGGAAGAGGGAAGGGATGCTGATGGGAAAGAGAAGCTGAGGAGCCGAGTTGGCAGAGTGCAGGGAACGACATGCTGAAGAGATATCAGCACAGGTATGAAGAGTCGAGAGTGTCCATGGCAACTTTTCGTGATCCTTTCGTGAAGAGCATTGAATTATGAACGGGTTTGTCGCGTGACGACCTTTTTTTTGTCAGGTGCATGGCCTTATCCAATAAAAGCCCAACAATTAGATAGGTTGTTCAGCAGTGCATGCGGAGCGATCGAGGGGCCCATGCCTTATCATTCGGATGACGTGGCAGCTTCTTCGAGTGCAAGCTTTGAACCCTCTCTCGAAGCAGCTTCCGAGGAGAACATATCAGAAGCCCATCGCGCAGGAGATGTGGGGATTAGCCCGTCGTTCATATGTAGGCCTCTTGCCCCCTGAAGTGAACAGGTGTTGACGCTCTTGCAGCAAGAAGAAGGAGCTCGCTGCTCGAAGAGAAGATCGTCACCATTGATTGCGGGGGAACGATACACAAGACGTACATATCGACGTTGAGACGACTTCCTCGGACGCTTTTGTACAGATTATCAGTAAGCCTCGAGATGTGGAGGAGTCACTTGTAGTGATTGACTCCCGACAGGCTGATGGTGGAATTCTTGATCGGACCGGATTCCTTTTCCTGGATAGGAACCCGCTAGCATTTCATGCCATCATGAATTATTACCGCACAGACAGGCTAGAGCCACCGCACGGGATCAGCGAACAATCTTGGCAAGAAGAGCTTGATTTCTACAACATCTCCATCCCCGTTGATAAGTTGACTGAGAAAGAAGCAGAGTTGAAGGTAGAGGATTTGTATCATGGATACCGGAAGACTTTGTGGCTCTTCTTGGAGAATCCAGAATCTTCAAAATGGGCAAGAATGTATAGTTTGGTCTCTTTGTCAGTCGTTTTACTTGCATCTGTCAACTTCATTGTCGATAGCCTGCCTGAGTTACGTGAAGTCGGCTCGGCCACATCAGATTACTGGAACAATGTGGTGTCTAGTGTGGAGGCATTTTGCATTATTTTCTCTACTGTCGAAGTTGCTGCTAGGTTCGCCAACTCCATGCAGAAATCTTCGTTTTTCAAAGAATCACTGAACATCATTGATGTTGCATCTGTGCTGCCTTGGTACATTGATCTAATTCTGTTGAGCTCGAACTTCAGCGGCCTGGTGGTGCTTCGAGTTGTCAGGCTGATCAAAATCTTCAGGATCTTCAGGATTGGTCGTTACAGCGAAGGTCTGCGCATTCTCATCTACACAATCCATCAGAGCAAGTCGGAGCTCAGCGTTCTGTTCCTCATGCTTGCGATCGGGGTTGTTCTCTATGGCAGCATCCTACACCTCACCGAATTCTCGGAGTGTCTCGTATCAGATCCTCCTGATCACTGTGAAGCTCGAAGGAACTTCGAGAGCATCCCCAAGTCAATGTGGTGGGCCGTGGTCACCCTCACGACAGTCGGGTACGGAGATGTTGTGCCGGAGACTGGAGTGGGAAAGTTCTTCGCGTCTTGCTGTGTCGTCACTGGCGTCCTGATGCTGTCGGGGCCCATCTCAGTCTTGTCGACTACCTTCGGGCATCGGTACGACGAGATGAGAAAGTTCAGGAAGAAGAAGCAGGAGCTGGAGTCCGAGAAGCGGAACATGCTGATGCTGGAGACTGTTCGAGGGAAGATCGCCTTCGGGAAGCTGATCAAGAACATGCTGCAGGAGGACGTGAGCCATGACTCGTATGAGAAGCTTGTGCGCAGCGTCTTCGAGAAGATCGATCATGACAACTCGAGGATTCTGGAGAAGAAAGAGCTGAAGGAGGCCCTGTTGCTGCTCGGGCTGAACATCAGCGACGAGGGAGTGGAGATGTTCCTTGCTGAGTATGATGCAGACGGGGACGGGTACCTGAACCCCACAGAATTCCTCTTGTTTGCAACCTCCGTCGCTCTGGACTCAGACGACTCCCTCAACGAGGAGATGCAAAAAATGCTGCGGACGGTGATAGATCGACATGGAAAGAACTTGGGGCTCGTCGAAGCCAGTCATGGAGCCTCAGGGAAGTTCAAGGTCAACCAGGTGGTGCCCGCTGATTGAGACCTCCTGGCTGGTTTATATGTTCCGGGGGTGGAGGAGGGGCCCAGTGAAGGAAGTAAATGTTGTGTCTGTCTCGTCGTCGTCTCCTCCTCACCCACCTTCTCTTTCTTAGTCTCGCTGCCTCCCGTGTTCGCCGTCCCTCTTCTTAGCTGAGTGATCGGCTCTTAATCCCCCTGCTCCTCTGCCCCATCAGAGTCCCGAGCGACTCCATCCTTGTCGCCCATGGCATTTGCAAGCCTGAGTGGATAGCCCGGGGGGGTGGGGTCTATTCGAGGTCTTGGATGGGGGTGGTGATATTGGTGGGGTGTCGGAATGGGAGGATCATGACAGGACGCTAAGATGGCAGGGGGAGGGAGGCAGCAGCGGGCGATGATGGCGAAGGGGAGGAAGAGGAGAGCAGCATCAGAGACTGCAAGGATCTCGACGATGCTCGCCATGGCCATGGCCATGGCGATGACTGTAACAGCGCAAGAAGGTGCTGAATGTGCCGTCGGGGCAAGCGAATCGACTCATGCTGACTGCCTGAGGGTCTGGGTGGGCAGGCAGGGATGCTGGGTGGGAGCAGAGAAGGGATGGACTGTGATAAGGTGCTCGAGTGTGAGTGATGAGCTGGAGGTCAAGATCGAGGGCAGCGGATGTCTGTGTGCAGCTACCAAGCAGACTAGCTTGCTTGCTTTCGTAAACACCGTGCAGACAAGTTTGTGTTCGTCCTGCTCCTGCTCGGCGAACGTCTCGCTGGCACTCGGCGCTCACAGCTTGCGAGTCGTCCTTGTAGACCAACAGGGAGCTGTCTTACGAACCCGGAGGACGCTTCTGAGGATCGAACGAGAAGTGGGGGAAGCAGCCAACCAGGTGGAGCCTTCTCCTCCTGCCTTGTCATCCTTCTGGCTGTTCGAGGAGCGAGCGAACAAGGTCCTCAGGGAGTACGTGGATCTACATCGAAGGATCTTGGATGAGCAGGACGAAAGCGTGGCTAAGAGGTTCTTGGTGGTCAGGAGCAGCCATGGGGTTTCAAACACTCAGATAGAGGAAGTGACAGGGCTCTTGATCGCCATCCTCACAAGACGAGCCCTCATCCTTGACTTCTCCAACGACTCCTACACAGGCCCTCGTCCCATCTTTGAGGTGTCGTCGTCGTCGTCATCATCATCATTATCATCATCACCATCACTGTCTTCGTCGTGATCATCATCTTCATCACCACCACCACACCATCATCATCATCATGCCCTTGTTCTCTGCCTCTGCTCTTGCTTGAACTTGACTCTACCAGTATGACTGGCCCATCAATGTATTTCTGGACGGCGTCGCTCCCTATCTCACCGAGCATCGAGACTTTGTGACCCCAGCTGGACGTGACGGTCGGTCGCTTAGCGCCATGCAGGTCGAGATGCCTCGAATTCCGCAGGAGGAGTATGGCAAGTACGGAGAGCTGCTGGCCTGCCAGCACTGGAACGACAGCATGGTAAGTGACCTCTTCTTCCTCTTCCTCCTTCCTCCTCCTCTTCCTCCGCCTGTGACATGCAAGCAGCCGGATGATGTGATCCTGGCGCAAACTCTCTTCGGGTTTCCCACAGCATACCTCAACAAGGTGAGGAGGACGCGTTCAGCTGTCTGCCTGCTGATCGACAGCAGCACCACATCGACGCCATCACCAAGACCTTCGGCATCTTCGCTTTCCCGATCCTCCATGCATTCCTGCACAGGTATAGCTGGAGGCCCGCGCGAGGGATGAGGAAGGTGGCAGGCCGAACGAGAAGATCCAGAGGGTCGTGACGTGGAGGCGCCAGGAGCTGGAGGTGGCACGAAGCTGTTCGTCTCCCTCCGCTCACCTCGAGGGGAGCAGGCCAGCGTCTGCTCGGTGGGGCTGCAGATTCGTTGGCACCACTTGCGAGCTTACCTGCAAGGGTGGGAGAGGGAGCAGCCGGATCGAACTGTGAACAAGTTCCTCTCTTGCGCCCTCAGCCTCTGCCCTGCTGACCATCGGACGACCCTGTTTGTTGCTACAGGTGAGATGAAGGTAATTGCTGGTTGCTCTGACGACCTTGACAGACTTCAAGAATGTTCGAGAAGTTCTCAAATCCAACCTCCTCTATCAGGCACTCCTCCTTCTCGTCCTCGTCCTCGTCCTCGTCCTCGTCCTCCTCCTCCTCCTCCTCCTCCTCCCTCCCTTTCTCCCTCCCTCCCTCCCTCCCTCCCTCCCTCCCTCCCTCCCTCCCTGAGATGACAACGTCGCCAGAGTCAGTTGGCAGCAGTTGCGGACTCTCGAAATCTCGCGCGATCTTGTGGAAAGAGCGGTGGGAATGGAGGAGAGGAATCGGGAGGGGCGAAAGATGAGTAGGGAGGAAAAAAGGGATCAGACAGAGAAAAGAGCAGAGCAGAGCAGAGCAGAGCAGAGCAGAGCAGAGCAGAGCAGAGCAGAGCAGAGGTAAGGGAGGAGATGAGACCATGAAAGAGAAGGGAGGTGAACAATGAAAGGAGAGAGGAGAAGGGGGAGAGGAAGGAGCAGGGAGAAGATGAGTCAGATAGAGCAGATGATGGGGAATCCTTGCTTCTGACGTGTCCTCAGGGGTCGAAGCTTGCAGCACCACTCAGTCGTCAACTTCGAGGTTCCTCGTTCCCTCCTCTCAGCTGCGAGTCTGACATGAGAAACAAGTGAGGGGCATGCATACCTAGCGGTAGATGGAAACAAGAAGATGAGATGGTCAGGTGAAATGAAGCTTCTTCCTTCTTCTTCTTCTCCTCCTGCATCTCCTCCTCCTGCTCCTCATACTCCTTCTCCTTCTACTCCTCCTCATACTCCTGGTCCTGCTACCTTCCTCTCTCCTACTCCACCTCCACCTCCACCACCTTCACCACCACCTCCTCCTCTTCATCCTCCTCTTCCTCCTCCTCAACAGCAGATGACGCATTCGCAGAGGGCGCATGCACGCACACGTGGGACGACATGCACGGCAAGGGGACGGGGGACCCCTGGTGGATGCTGGACATGGTAAGGAGAGTGAGGGGGTGGAGGAGTTTGAGACTCCTCTAGCACTCCCAGCGCAGCATTTCAGCCATCAGACTGTGGAACCGCGCGGATTGTTGCTTCGAGCGTCTGCAGGTGAAGCAAGGAGAGGAAGGAGGGAGGATGAAGGAGAGACGAGTGAGGGTGGCAGGATGTGGAGAGGGAGGAAGGAGAGAAGAAGAGAGGAGGGGAGTAGAGAACGTCATTCATGACTTTCAAAGGGCGTCAACGTCTTTGCTGGAGATTCTCCAATTCCAACTGAAAACTTCTTGTGTGCGGCGGATGTGGAGGTGCCGGCAGCTGGGGACGAACTGATGTTAGTCTTCTCTCCATTCTCCCCTCTCCCAGTCTCCTCTCCTCTCCTCTTGCCTCCTCTCGCCTCACCTTCCCCTCCCCTCCCCTCCCTTCTGCTCCCCTCATTGAGTTCATCAGATGGTGTGAGACAAGTGCAAAGTACATCTTCGTCGTCATGCCAGGTTTGCGGTCTCTTGCTGACGAGGACGAGTGACTGCTGGGGGCGTACAGGTGAAAACAGGATCTTGACTATCTGTGAGGTCGAGGTCTACGGTGATGACACTATCGCTCCTCCTCCTCCTCCTCCTCCTCCTCCTCCTCCTCCTCCTCCTCCTCCTCCTCTCCTCCTCCTCCTCCTCCTCCTCCTCCTCCTCCTCCTCC